TTTCGGTCGACCTCTTACGAGATGCAGGACATCGCCTACACGAGATACTTGCGAAACATCTAACGTCTTACTTTCAAAAAGGAATTATCCCCGACCAGTGGAGAACCTCCCGAACAATCCTCCTTCACAAGAAGGGCGATCGGGAGGATCTTCGGAACTATCGTAAAATATGCCTGCTGAGCGTGCTTTACAAGCTCTTTACGAAGATTATTCTCTCGCATATCGAGGGCACTGGATAAAGCCCAACCTGTAGAACAAACTGGATTTCGCAAAGGCGGCTGGACTCATCTTGCGTGAGGACATTGGCCGATTGCTTCAAGAACTCTATAACGGTACAGCTTTTCCATCGTCCCCTTAACATACCAATCTCGAAGGGGATTCGACAAGGTGACACCGTGTCGCTAAAGCTGTTTACCGCCGCCCTGCAATGGGTGATTAAATTACTGGATTGAAAAGAGAGAGGTTTACTAGATGAGAGATTCTTCTCGAACCTTCGTTTTGCGGATGACATTGTTCTCTTCTCAAGGAATATCAATAAAGCGGAGACGATGTTGAAAGAACTAAACGAAGTAGGGAAGTAAGACTGCGAATTAATCAGAAGAAGACTTAGTTCATAAAGAACGCTTTTTGCGAGGATCAGAAAATGGAATTAGGTCTCCAATCGGACGTCTTCTTACGTATATCTCGGGCGTTCAATGAACATGGAGAACGGCTTGAAAGATAAACTTAATAGGAGACGAACAGCTTGGGCGGCCTTCGCGCCCCTAAAGAAAGCCACAGACCAACTGACGGCCCCAGAGCTCCGAGCTCACTTTTCGATTCAACCGTGCTCCCTGCGCCCTATTTTCCAGCGGAGAAATGGCCTGACACTGCGGCTACGTCGAGGGCACTCCGAATAACCCACAGAGCGCTGAAACGACGTCTTCTGACACTGTGGCTACGTCTTCTGAAGTACAACCGACGCACTCAACATCTTGTCGGACTTCGCAGTATAGATATGAGATCAACGTCTCGTCTTCGCGATCCAGCGGATTACGTCTCTAAGCAAAACAACTAGTCATTTAATGAGAAGGACAGACGACAGACACGGACACTAAGAACTCTGGAAATCCCTCGCAAAAGTCATCGGGAGGCCACCGACCAGTTGGGCTGACATGTTCGTTACACGGATGGACCAGTTGAATTTTCAGCTGGTAACGAATAATGGATCTGTACCTCGTGAATGTCGCCGCCACAGATCAATACCAATCGTGGATGACGCTAAAGAGAGACAGAAGCGGATGGAAGTGCTGGGACCTGCACGACGAGTGAAGACAGGCCATCCAAGTAAGAAAGTAAGCACCAAATGTCCATCACATCCCTTATGCAAAATAATAATTGCCAGTGTTTACAAAATAGCTCCTCAGCTTTCTATTGTAGTAGAACTCTTGCGCTTTTTCAAGAAGAGTATGTGTAAGTTTCATTCAAGTTGACCCTAGCCATAACGCCGACAGTGCGAACTTCCATGTAAGTCCCTCCAAACTGACACTGGCCAAGATCGTCGTCAAGTTGTCCACCACCTTGTCTAGAAGAATTATGTGCAGCCTTTTTTAAATTGCCTCGCGGCCCCTTAACGATGAACTGCGCGTTCTGGGTTTGTAGTTACCCCTCATAA